GGGTTTAGGGTTTAGGGCTTCCGTTTAGGGGCTCCTCTAAGGGTTCCGTTTTGGGAGTTCCGGACGGTTTAGGGTTTAGGGTTTAGGGCTTCCGTTTAGGGGCTCCTTTAAGGGTTCCGTTTCGGGGCTCCTTTAAGAGTTCCCTTTATAGGGGCTCCTGTACGAATTCCGTTTAGGGGCTTCTTCAAGGGTTCCCTTTATGGGCTCCTTTAAGGGTTCCGTTTATGGGCTCCTTTAAGGGTTCCTTTAGGAGCTCCTTTAAGGGTTCCTTTAGGTTTAAGGCAGAACTTCGGATTGAGGGTGTAAGGTTTAGGATTGGGGGTTTAGGGTTTACCTTAAGATAGCTGCCAGAGCTCAGCTTTCAGTTTCTGCGTGCTTTTCAGGGCTATTAGGGTTTCGTTTATATGGGCCGCTTAAGGCTTCAGGTTTCGGGTTCTAAAGCCTTTCGAGTCTTCATCAGGTTTCCCTCAAAAGGGGTTTAGGGTTTAGGGTAAGGGCCTGCAAGGGTTGAGAGGCTGCATCAGGGGTTTGTAGTGGGTTTGAAAGCGTTTCGGGCTCTGTGCTTGGGGTATTAGTTGCACAAGGGGCCTTATGAGAGGCTTCATAAAGGCTTCATGACAAGTTGTATACGAGGGCCTCATAAGGCCTTCTTTCCAAAGTGTTTTTAAACGTGCTTGATGAAGTTAAGGCGTCATCAGGCCTCAGTTCAAAAAACTGTGGTTCTCGAAGTTCTTGATGGCGCTTTTAGGGGCTTTCATGCGGGGTACAGCGACTTTTTTGCTAGTTCGTCTGCGGCCGTTTTGGGTTTGGAGGTTTGTCTGATGCAAACCTCTAGTCTCCACTGTAGTTCCTTTTTTTGGTTTAACTAGTATTATATTAAGGATCCTATAAGGTAACACCAAAAAGGAACTACAATGGAGACTATAGAAAAGGAATGGACCCTAAAGCGTAGTCATCCGTGGTACGTTTGGGGTACACTCCTGGTAGAACGCATCAAGGCCAGATGGGTAATGTAGGGGCCTAAATGATTACCAATACTAATTTAAATTCTAGTATACTGGGCTCCAAAACCCTATTATTTAGGCTCCTATATTAGGAGCGCTGTCGAATTTGGGGTTTAGGGTTGAGAGGCTCGAGAATTGGGTTTTAGGGTTTGGGGGTTGTTAACGTGGTCTTCAGCATGAATGGTATTTATGATAACCATGAGGGGATAACCGTCATAAGACTAATCACGATACTACGTGCTATGCAGACTGCCCAGCAGGATGACACTAACAGCAAACATATGCTCGACAACCATGCTACGAACCATGATAGCAACAAAATTTCTAATGGCAGGCACACCCAAAAAATGCGCATCTGCTCCCGATAAGATAAAACTCAAGCAATTGTCCGCGTAGACATGAGCCCCACCACTGTGTCGATAAGATACCTATCATCCCACCAGTGCTGAGCTGGAAAGGAAATCTCTCTTGAAAGTGCCTCCGCAATGTTGGGCTCATCCCCCCGGTTGTCGAAGGACACCTCGACGCATCTCCGTCTCTCGAAGCGTTTTTGCAAGGGGTTCGATTCGGAGCTCACAACACAGTCTCACAGTCCCATTGTCCACTGCGACCAAGTTTTTTCATCATCGTTAGCAGCATCACCGTCCTGAGCTTCAATCCCTCAACCTCAAGCAACTACACACCGAAATCTAAAGCCTGACCCTTACATTTTAGCACTCGAGCCTAACCCTTACATACATCTAGCTCCTAGTCGTAAGACCGGCTGAGTCCGGTACGTCTCCGCCTGGCGAGAAGGGCGCAGGGCTGCCAGGGTACGGTGGGCTGGGTTCGGGTGTGCCGGCATGGGGAAAGGACTCGCAGGGTTTGGGGGGATGTGGATTTAGGGTACCACCCAATTCCTTCGAGACGCCTTATCCGACGCTGGCCAAGGACCTCCCGTGCTCATCCCCCGTAGGTACCAGCCACAGACGGCTTGAAGCATCGATCGCTTGGATGAGGTTCAGCACGGTAACGAGCTTCTTGTACAGGGGCCACACTCTAAAAAGCAAACAGAGGTGGTGCAAGACAACCGTAATCATGGGATCGGTCGCAAGAACCCTCTACTATCTATCTTACATCGACGACGACTACTAACCTGTAAAACGTCACAAAAACACTCAGGACATATGCATGCATACATGCACAACTCTATGGATGTATGTATGTATGTACGTATGTATGTATGTACGTACGCGTGCATGGATGGATGGATGGATGGATGGATGGATGGATGGATGGATGGATGTATGGATGGATGTATGGAT